CACCCTGAGCACCTACCCAGAGCTCAACTCCTCCATCAAGATGGAGGTGGGCATTGAGGATTGCCTGCACATCGAGTTCGAGTACAACAAGTCCAAGTAAGTGCCTCAAGAGCGGCTGGTGGGCCGTGGGCAAACATCTGCTACGGGTTTGGAAGCCTGAGGATGAAAGTGGTGGCAGCGGTTGATGCACCATCTGCAACGTCCAGTGGGGCTGCGGGGTAAGAGCAAGTTCCTGCTCTTCAGCCCCAGCCCTGGAGCCCTGCACAGGGTTTGATCCTGGTGCTTTCTTCCCTCCCGTGGCAGGTATCACTTAAAAGATGTGATTGTGGGGAAGATCTACTTCCTGCTGGTGCGGATCAAGATCAAACACATGGAGATCGACATCATCAAGAGGGAAACGACGGGCACGGGGCCCAACGTGTACCACGAGAACGACACGATAGCGAAGTACGAGATCATGGACGGGGCTCCTGTGAGAGGTGAGGGGGCACAGGAACCCTCAGAACTCCTCTTCTGGAGGCTTCTGGGGTGGGAATATCTTGCAGTATCTTCTGCGTGCTCGGTTGTTAGCATCTTGTTCCAGTGGTGGGCTCAGGGCAGTTTACACATGGGGTTGATACGATCCCCTTCCTCCTCTGGTGCCGTGAGGGGGAACTGAGGCACAATGAGCTGCAATTCTTTCAATGCAGCAGTGGCAGAGCTAGATATAAATTCAGTGTTGGTGTGGGCCACCAGCTGGCATTGCTGCACCTTGGAGCAGAAAGGTGGTGTTTCTGCTGTGTGCCACTTGCTTTCTGGTTCCATTGCCCGGCAGAGTCACCTGCCAGGGAAAATTATCACCTTACTCATGTTTTCCTGCAGAGCTGTCGCGATTCAGGTTCCTGTGCTGTTAAAGTGGAGATGGAATAGCTGTCAGCAAGGGCAGGATCTGGCTGTGGACCATGCATGCTGAGTTTTGAAGGGAGTTGAGGTCTTCTAGCTCATGTTAGTCCACTTGTGGAAACGGTGACAAAAGTTTGTGGCCTTGTGAGTTCCTGTTTTTCTGGTGCTCTCCTGGTTTCTATCCACATCCCGTGTGTGCTGATGGCTCTGTGCACTTTGCAGGGGAGTCCATCCCCATCAGACTCTTCCTGGCTGGCTATGAGCTGACTCCAACGATGAGGGACATCAACAAGAAGTTCTCTGTGCGTTATTACCTCAATCTGGTGCTGATCGATGAGGAAGAGAGACGCTACTTCAAACAGCAGGTGAGAAACAGAGGTGTTCTCCTTGGACCTGTGGGCTGTTGATTGGGATACTGCTATGAGGGCCTATTGGGAATTTGGGATGGTGGGAGAGTCATGTTCTGAACTGAGTATCTGTCAGAACTAGACAAATTAGAGCGTGCCAGGATGGTCTAGAAGAGCTGTCCACACAGGTCTGGTGTGTGTGATGGTGGTGGGGAGCGTGGAACAAATCAGAGTGTGCAGAGATGGTCTAGAAGGCGCCACGAGCCCTGACGAGCCTCGGCTGTGTCCCTGCAGGAGGTGGTGCTGTGGAGGAAAGGAGACATCGTGCGGAAGAGCATGTCCCACCAAGCGGCCATCGCGTCCCAGCGGTTCGAGGGCACGTCCTCGCACGGCGAGGCCAAGACTCCCAGCCAGCCCTCGGAGAACAACGGCCGGCAGTGAGGAGAGGGAGGTGCTGGGCAGCCCCCGGGGACGGCAGCACCGAGGAGGAGAACCCTTCAGAGACTTCATGACAATAAATATCCGTTTTTGACTTAATTCCTTTCTTCGGAGGACTCGCAGGGTGGGAAGGGGACGGGAGGGCAAGGCAGGCTGGAGCGCTGGTGGTGCCTCAGTGCTTCCCAATCAACTACATTCCTCTGGGATCAGCTGCTTTGAGTGTCTGGAGGCTGCGGAGCTGCCTGATCTCCTCTTTGCCCCGATTGCCCGGTCTCCTCTTTCGTTGTGGCAGCGGGGAAGGAGAGAGCAAGTGAAGGCCAAATCCGCCGCTTCTTCCCAGCGGTGTGGAGGTTGCTTTGGGGTTGTGTGGGATGGATATTCTTCTTGCCTTTCTGAAATCTTCACGAGGGGAGAATGACACGGTGATTAGCTGGATGTGAGAGGAGGGACTCGGGGGGCTGTGGTGTGGCCTGCTTGGAATTGTGCGGTGTTATCCCCTCGCTGCCTCCCCTTCTTCCTCTTCGTGCTGGCATCGGATTCTTTGCCACAAACAGTTGGAGAATGCAGTTGACATCCACGGGCAGCAGCTGTGCTGTGTCCCTGCTCCGTGTCACACCAGGAGCTGTGGCTGGCAGGAGGGAGTGAGGTGTGTGGGTGCAGGAGGAGGTGGCACAGGGAGGGCAGAGCGGTGAAGGTCCCAGCGCTGCTGGGTGGGCAAGAAGTGGGGGCAGAAGGCTCCTGGCCAAGAGCAGTGCCTTCCTAGTCTTGTCCTGGCAGCTGCCTGAGTGCCCCTGAGATCCAGGCTCAGTTGCTGCACTCGTACAGGTCCCAGTTGCTGCTGCAGAGCAGGGGCAGACCAGCCTGGAGATGTCTAGAGTTTTGGAATGTGAGACAGAAACTGGAGCTGTCTTAGGAGTGAGCTTACGCTGTCCTTGTGACAGAGCAGGCTTTGTGTGCGGACAGACAGCAGCACAGGACACGTGTGTGTTGTCTGGTTTGCTCCCTCGTGCCTCTGGGACGAGGATTAGTGAGGGCAGAGGGTGGACGCAGTTGTTTTGAGAAGCTCACAGCCTGTGTGTGCTGCTCGATGAAGCCAAGCAGCAACTGGAAGAAGGATGGCAGAGCTCTCTGATTCCAGAGGCACATTCCTGCAGTCACCAGGGAGGTCTGAGGGCATGTTGTGAACTGAGAACCTGAAGGAGGGTTTTTCTTATCTAAAACAACCTGCTTTTAGCCTTCAGCTAAGTAGACTCGTGAGAACATTCCCAGAGGAAGTCGCTCCTCCGTTAAAAATCAGAGGTGGCTTTGTAGGCTTGATGGACCAAATCTGGAGGACATCCATCCTGCTGAGCTGCCCTTCAAGCAAGCAGGAGGTTAGACCTCCTACCAGAGAGAGAGGCAGGCCTGTACTAAGTGCTGGGATATGAGCTCTATCAAGTAGGATTTGTCTGGATTTCCCTGAGTTTGTGGCTGGCTGGGGTTGTGTCCAGCTTCCTTTTGGCTCTGGAATCAGGTTCCTCTGCCTCTGTCCTACAGCTGAATGTAGAACAGTTGTCTTGCAGCTGGGAAATGGAAGTTTGTGCTTTGCTTAGAGGAACAGTGCTGGTGGAGGGAGTGGGGCCAGGGTGGGGAGGGGAGCTCTTTATGTAATAAGACAGCTACTGTATTTCAGTGATAAATGTGTGTTTCTGCTTGCCAAAGTAAGTTATCTTTTACTCACCACGTGTCAGGTTGTGGTTTCCAGTAGAGCTGGCCAGTCTCTGTTGTAGAGGACACTAATGATCTCATCTCTGCTGAATGCTTGTGTCACACCATGTTTCTGCTCTGTGCCAGTGAAGACTGTGGCTTGCTTTTCTTTCCACGAGGGGTCTGTGCCATGGGCTGGAGCCGTGTCTTCCTAAGGCTGGAGCAAAAGCTCCCTTTGGACAGCTACCTTGTTGTGCCAGGGCAAGGGGTTGTCCCATGGCAAAGGAACCTGGATGTCACTTTGGGCACTCCTCCCTCCCTCCCTGGAGGGACCTGCCTGTGCTGCAGCAATGCCCAATCCTTTAGGGACAAGTGACGCTCCACTGGGAGCCTTTGGGGATAGCAGACTATCTTTCCATGGCTGAGCTGAGCACAGCAGCACCCTAACTCCCCCCCTAGCTTTCCCTCAGCTCCCACCCTGCCTAGATTTATTCCCTCTGGGGTGTAGGCCATGTGGTGTTAGAGGAACCCTGTGGAGGAAGGCACCTCCACATTGCAGGAGTGTTGTGTTTGCTGGCTGAACAGCATCAGTGCTGGATGTGAGACCATTGTCACACAAGGTCTCTGTTCAACATCTGCTCATCGCTCCTGGAGGGTTCCCTTGCAAAAGGTGCATGAGCCTGTACATTGTTTGGTTTGGTTTGTTTTTTTTTTTCTCCTACTTTGTGCCCCTCTCTCCCCCCCTTGTCCCTACTTGTGGAACCAGAATTTAGAAATGATCCCCATTTTTACTGAATCTTATGGACCATTCAACCTGTTACCCACTAGGCCCTCTGTTTGTCTGGAGTGGAGCAGATGTGCTGAGCATCCTTAGAGAGAAGGTGGAGCATAAGGTCACTCTAGGACAAGGTACTATAGAGGAGTGTTTCATTAGCATGTTAAGGGGCAGGTGCTGCTCGAGCACCCCCTGAGCTGGTGGTTCTGTGCTGTACTTGGGTCATTCCCTCTCTCCCAGGCAGAGGGGAGTGGGCAAGTACTAAACCAGGCAGTGCAACCTGTAATTAAGCCTCTGCTGTGTTTACATGTTTCTTAATTCGTTGTCTTTTCAATGGCTGTATTTTAAAAACTTGGGTTTTTTGTCTCTCCAATTAAAAAGAGCCAGCCCTGGCTGTCAAACGCTGTGCACGAGTTTGTCTGATATGTTTTATATTGGGGTTGGGTTGGGTTGGGATTTTTTCCGTGGTATTAAGAGATTTTTCTTTAGTGCAGCTCTTCAGACATGCTCGAGGAGTTTATCCTTTCTTACCTTTATAAATCCTTGGTCTTTTTTGAGACACTGCTTAGCAGCTGTGCTGGTAGAGAACCCGTGCTTAAAAATGAGCAAGTTGGCTTTATTTTCCTCTATTTCCCTGATGTCAGAACTAAAATAACATGGGAAAATTTGTACCTGCAGGAAATTAACTGTGATCTGCTTTGTATATACATCTCTAGAGAGACTACTTACAAGAGCATGTGGTGGCAGGACAAGGGGGGAATGGCTTCAAACTGAAAGATCTGGAACTAAACACCTCAAAGAGGATGTACCTGTTTGGTCCTTCAAGAGATAAATAGCAGATTTTCCCCCTATTAAAAACTGAGTAGCTGCAGTTGATTCCAAAAGGCTTTATTTATTTAAAAATAAGCAAAAAATAACAGTGTGTCAGCGTAAGGGACGTGTGGCTGAGAATCGTGTGCGGGCGTGTTGGTGGGGCTGCGACTGAGCAGGTGAACTTGAGAACTGTGCTGGTTGAGGAGGAGCATCAGCAGGCTTTGGGGGAAGCTGGGCTGCTCTCAGCTCCTTTAATGTGGCTTTTCCTCTTCCAGGCTCAAGACAAAATCAAATTGCTCTGCGTTAAAAAGACAAAAAGCCATAAGTGGAACTTGCAGGTTCTGTCTCCCCCCGGAGGGAGAGGCGTCAGGAGTCCAAGGGGGTTCTCACCTTGTGTCAGTGGTTGGATGGAAAGACGTTGTCTTGTGAAGAGCATCATGTCCTTCAGGGGCCCCCCATCTGCTTTGTGTGCCAGGTGGTGAGCCTTGATCTCCGAGAGGGGGATGAACCGCTTCGTCATCCGCACAAACTGGACGTCCACCTGCGCAGGGGTGGGCAGCAAAGGAGCAGGGTTGGGGAGGGGTATAGCCTCCAGGTGGCACATAACATCTTTGGAAGGGATAAAGATGTAAAACTGAAGCAAATGACTGATGTGCACCACCTTATCACAGCCTGGAAGCTCTTCCTTGCCCCAGGCTAAAAGAACTTCCAGGTGCTCCTGGCAGGTGATCTGCTCACATGAATCAGCAACTGTGCAACAGCAGTGTGCATTCACGTTGTCACAGCCTGTGAGCAGTCCCTTCCCTACAATTCAACATGCCTCAAAAGTACAGCTTTGTTTGCTGTGGACTGAGGTTGGTATTTAAAGATGTTCGTTTTCCTAACCCAGAGTTCTGCCATGCAGGGAGGCCAGCTCTGCACCCACGTAAGATTTGAAAATTTAGGGAGGTACATTTTGGCAGCCTTCTGGTAGGGATAGGGGAAAAGGTAGACAGAACAGGATTGATTTTCTCTTGAGAGAGAAAATCTGGCAGCTAGGCCAGGACAGAAGATTAAGATTTGCAGTATGATGCAAAGAGGCTCCTCCCTTCACTCAGTTTGCACACAAAGCTTGGAACAGCTGTATTTAGTGCAGTACATTACCATAGACCATTTGGGGTTCTCCTTTCTGCTGGTGGAATCATAGTGGGGATCCTTCTGATCAAACTGTGTGTGATCAGGGTAAGCCTCCTTTACAATCTGGAGCAGAAAGGGGAGAAGAATGTGAGACAAGTTCCCACCAATTTAAAATAACTGTCAGCAAAGGGTATGAAATGCCCTTTGAAAAAAGCTGGGACTAGACACAAGGAAGAATCCAAGTACAAAAATCAGCCTTGCTTTCCCTGGACTCCACTCTAATGGGGAGATATGTTTCCTTCACATTTCTTGGCTCGAAGCACTGCAGAGCACTCCAGCTGTCAGTGAAGCATCACCTTCTGTGGCAGGAAAACATGCAGCAGAGGAAAACTGCTGCAAGATGATGATAGTCCTTGTGGTGAGTTCTGCTCTTAGAGAAAAAGCTTTTCTGTGCCCTGGGTTTTGTATCAATGCTTTGGGGGCTCAGCTGAATTTAGTGAGTCAGATTTGAATCAGAGTGTGGAGCAACACTTGGCTTGTCTGGGAGTGCCCTGAAATGTCAGCAGGAAAGCAGCACTGTGGTTCCATCTCTCTGGGGACAGATGCCTGAGTCAGCCCTGCTGAGCTGAGGTGCCCAGGGCTCATGCCCTGCTCAGGCTGGACAACTCCTGCATTCCTTTGGTGCTGAGGCACAAGCTGGTGGATAACCCATCCATCACTACTCCCCCCCAAAAGGCAGAACACAGACACACTCACCTTGACAATGGCCACAATGCCAGGCTCTTTACAGTTACTGTGGTAGAAGAAAGCCTGCTGCCCAATTTTCATGGCTCTCAGGAAATTCCTTGCCTGTCAGGGGTAAACAAGAGACTTTCACCTCTTCCTATCAAGCTCTCAGGGCTTCGTTGCAAGCAGCCAGGAACAGGAACTAACAGCAAGAGAGGTAGATGTGCTTCAGAGCTACTCAGATTTTCCTGCAGTTGTCATAGAGATGTTTTTGTGTTGGAATTAAATTAAGGAAAAACAAGGCTGAAGAGCAAGATCCTGTTGGTTAGAAAGTGTGTGGGAATTCAACAGCTCAGCCACCCTTGTTCCAAAGACTTAACTTGCTGTTAGCAAACGGGCAGCAGAGCAGATCATGCATAGGGGGAAGCATATACAGTACAGGGATCATATCTAGTAGGGGAACCACATGAAATTCCTTTGGAAGAGAAAGCTCTACACTGACAGGGCATTTTTGGGCAAGTACAGACTTGCTAAAAGGTGTCAATATTGACAGAATATTCCCCAGCCTGAATCTACCCCTGACCCAGAGCAACTAAGGAGTTTAGACTTTAGACTCCTGCCAAAATGCACCTGTATAAACATGCCTCAAAAGGAAATGCTTCAGGAAAGGGAACCAGTTATCTGTGAGGGGAGCCACCTTTTTCCTGGTGCTATTCCAGTGACTTCTTACCTGGTAGTTTCTCACTCCATCCCAGCAGGTTGTCTGATTGGGCTGAGCTTTCAAGTCATCAACGCTGAACTGCCAAATGGAATGAAAATCAGGTTAATTCAGGAGGTATCTGTTCCTTACTGGGTCATTGCCTACACTGAGCCTAAACATTTGCTGCTAGTAGCTCCTTCTATTATAATATGGACTTGACACAATTTTTTTCTTCCCACAGGGGCTGAAGAAAAGCCTTTGCAAAGGAGGAACACTGCATTGTTGTAAAGGCAGAGCCTGAAATAGATGCTGCCCCTGTGATCAGCATCCTGAGGACCTGATTTTCTCTTTTATTACACGTATGAAACCCCAAGGTTGTCACCCTGGAAAAAACACAACGTTATGTCTTTCTATTTCCAGGAAGACAAATGGGTTTAGAGAAGAAAAACAATCTGAGTTGTCTGGTCCTGTCCCTCTGGTCACCGATGCTCTGGGCAGGAGTGACACTGCTGCTGTCCCTGCTGAGTGAGGATGGGTGTCAGTGCTTACTTTCACATCCACCCCCTTCTCCAGTCTGCTCTCCGGTTCTGATTTCAGCAGCCAGTGACAATATGTGATCTTGCTTTCCTCCCCACCAGACTCAGATTCTTTTGTCTTCTTCCAGTTCTTCCATCCTGACTTGGAGCTCCCAGCTGGAGGTTTTGCAGACTTCTCTTCCTCCTCCTTATCCGAAGTCTCCTCCTCAGTTTTGGCAATTTTAGCATCAGGCTCTTTTTTATCTTAAAAGAAAGAGGAAAAACATTCAGGTAAAACACATTTTGTTTCTGAAAATGACTGGTGCTGAAATATTTTGAGTTGTTTAAGCTGGTTTCACCTGACTGCAGGCAGAGGTTTGGTGCACCCCAGGTGTTAAGGGTAAGGTAGTAGCATTATGCACCAGTGATTCTGAGTATTTCTAATTTGCATCTGAAATAAGTATATTTTTGTGTGTGTGTGCAGCATGCACAAATGGAGTTTAAAAGTCACAGTCATTAAAAAAACCCAAACAGGATAGACCATGTTGCCCATATGAAGTGTAGTTGAAATTTTTTTAATTAATTGCTGAGAAATCAGCTGCAGGCAACAAAGTTGATTTAGGTGAATCTGGTGAGTAACAGGAACATTCAGCAGAAAAGAAAGCTATTTCTATTCCTGTAGCTGGAAACTTTGTCTTAAGCCTCCACTGAGCTCCCTGTTCAGAAGGGATTCATATCCCTTGTTTCTTCAGGACCCAGACAAAAAACCTCCCAATTATTAAGAAGTGATTTAAGGGTAAGAAGGTGGTTATTTGTTAGAGTGGATCAAACAGATGAGTGGCATGGATGAGCCAACTGTGCAATTTTTTCATCTTACACCTTTACCACCACATAATGGTGCCTCCAGTGCAAGGTTTTTTGCTTTTTTCTTTTCCCATCAGCTTCCTGGCACTACACATACTCTGACTGACCATCTCTAACGTGTAGGACCTGAAAGCTCTTCATAAATGGCTATGAATTACATATTCCTAACCAGAATTTACATCACTGTCCTTATCACACACCCAGCAGACTTGTCTCAGTCTCGCCTGGGTGCTCAGCCCATTCTACACAGGAAATGCTGTCTGTAAAACATGTGGCTCTGAAAGGCAGACGGTTAATTCGGCTGCCTGTAGTTTCACTACAGCCTGGAACCTCAAATGAGAGATGCTAAATCAGTCAGGATGTCAGCACAGACCTGCTACTGCTCCCTTGTCTCTCTTTCTGCTCGGCCAAGGCATCTCTGGTCTCTTTGAATTATCTTCACCTGATGAACGAGAGAAGGAGGAGGAATTACTGCTTATTCAGGCGAGCTGGGGAAAGCAAAGCTGGCTGAGACAGAGTGGAGAGCGAATAAATCTTTCCCTGAGCTCAGCCACTTCCTCTATCAGTGTGAATGCTGGCAGGGGCTGGGGACCGCACCCTGGGCTGATGGACACCAGCAGCAGGGCTGGATTCCTGCTCCAGGGCCGCTGGAGAACAGTCCCGGAGCTGCGTGGGCTGAGCAGAGGGGCTGTGGCTCTGGAAAAGGGAGAAGCGCTTCCCTGCGCAGCCCAGCCCCGCACCCGGGGGCTCTGGCTCAGCCTGTTGCTCGCTGGGCACCGCTCGCTCAGGTCCCTGCGGGAATGTCTCCCTTTGGAGACGTTAAAACACCACCTGGACGCCTTCCCGCGCCACCTGCCCCAGGTGACCCTGCCGTGGCAGGGGTTGTTGGGCCGGATCATCCCCAGAGGTGCCTCCCGCCCCGCACAATTCCGCGCAAAGCGCCCGGCCGGGCGGCCCATCCCCTGCCCCGTCTCTCAGCAGGAGTTCCTGGGCTCTGGGCTGGCTTCCTCCTGCCAGGCCGCCTGGCATCAACTTTTCCACCTCCCGTGCCAAGCTTTCACCACCCCCAACCCCACCATCCATCCCTCCCTCCCGCCCCCCGAGCTCCCGCTCACCGGCCGCGCCGCCGCCGCCGTGCCGGTGCGGGATGAGGATGCTCGGGGTGCGGGAGGAAGCGGTGCCCGCTATGCAAACGGCGGGGCAGGGCCGGCTCCCCTCGCTCCCTCCCCGCTCGGGCGGGCGGTGCCGGGGGCAGGACTACAGCTCCCAGCCTGCCCCGCCGGGCTCCGGGAACGCGGACGGCCCCGGCCGTGGCCATGGCGTGGCGAGCGGCCCCGCGGGTGGCGGTGCGGCTGGCGCTGGGGCGGCGGGGGATCGCGTCCTGCATCGACCGTAAGGATCCGGGGATGCCCCCCCGATCCCGGCCCCGGCTCCGCCTGCCCGGCTCCCGAGCGGGGATATCCCCCCTCCCCACCCCCGCGGCCCGAGGGGAGGCGGTCTGGGGGGAGATGGAGAGGGATCGGGGGGTCCAAGAGCCGTGCCCGCCTGGAGGGATGTGTCCATTCTCCCTGTGTCCCTGATCCCTGCGCCCGCCCGCGACGATGCGGGCTCAGATGCCCGGCAGTGGGGCAGTGCCCGCAAGGAAAGGTCCTTCACCTTCCCTGTACCTCCCTTATGGTTTTTAGGCCGTGCCCGGCAATGGGCCACAACCCACAGGTAAACATCTTTCCCCATCCCTCTCCCCCTTACCTTTGTTAGACCGTGCCCAGCAGTGGGGCAGGACCCACGAGGAAAGGTCCTCCCACCTCCCTGTACCTCATTACCTTTGTTATACCGTCACAGATTTCCAGGCTTGACAGTGAAATCAATATCTCAGAAAAGGGGGATTGCAAAAAACAAGGAAAGTGTGTGGGTTTTTTGGATGGGCAGACTCATAGGACAAGGGGGAATGGATTTAAACTGAAAGAGGAGTGATTTAGGTCAGATGTTAGGAAGAAATTCTTCTGGTGGAATTCCAGCTGGCACAGGTTGCCCAGAGACACTGTGGCTGCCCCATCCCTGGAAGCGTTCAAAGCCAGGTTGGATGGGGCTTGGAGCAACCTGGGATAGTGTTTGGTTTGTCCTAAGAAAGCTCCTCCCAAAGGCCCCTGATATTCCTGAGGAGCAGAGAAACGGTCTATGCAGCAGAGACCCTGAGCTGTTTGTATGAGTTACGGGGCACTTTGAGGTGTAGAAGAGGTGGTTTTGCTGCTTTGCCACAACCGACACATATTCCAATCTCTTCCTGCTTTTCCAGCATCCGTCGGACTGACTGAGGATCAGAAGGAATTCCAAAAAGTTGCCCTTGATTTTGCTGCCAAGGAGATGGCTCCTTACATGGCTGAGTGGGATGAAAAGGTATGACAGCCTTGGAGGAGTTGGGCTGCTCACTTTTCCCTCCTTTAGCATGTTGTGTTCCTTGGGTCTCACCAAGGGGTTCCTGCAATACCTCCTCGGTGCTGTTGTGCCATCTGTAGAGATTTTCGTTGAAGCTGCTGCTGCAGCTGGGGTGGGAAGTCATCAGAAATACTTTAAAGCTTTCCTAACCAGGCTGTTCCATCACCTGAAACCCGGATTTACTCCTAAGAATGGAACATGTCTGTGTAGGGAGCCACCTCTTCTTTAACCCACTCGGTCAACGTAAACTCTGCAAGGAATGTGGGACTGCACTTGGTAGCCCAGGTGTACCAGAAGATTGAATTGATGATGAATATTCACTTGGGAAATCTCTGCCTGCCCCAACAGGAAACATTCCCAGTGGAAACCATGCGGAAGGCAGCCCAGCTGGGATTTGGAGGATCTACGTGAAACCAGATGTCGGTGGCTCTGGATTGTCACGACTCGACACCTCCATAATCTTTGAAGCTTTATCAACAGGATGTACCAGCACCACTGCTTACATGAGCATCCACAAGTGAGTGTGTCTGCAGGGGGTGGATGGAAAACCCAGCTGCTCTGTGGGCTCTAAATCCAGCTGGAACAGCTTCCTGGGCGCTGCTCATTTAAATATTTAAATTGTGACCCCGAGTAGGCACGTCCCTGGGAGGATCCCTGGATAGCAGTAAACAAATAGGCTACAAGAGCTGGGATGCCACCAAGAAGTAATTTTAGCTTTGTGGCATGCAAGATGGGATTAAGTTCTGGATTTTGTTCCCTGCTCTCCCACTTAAGCTGTCTATAGATAGTAACCTGCCTGGAAAAAGCCTTTGTGCATTGGCCATACTGTGACAGAGCCCAGAGGCACCACCTGATACCAGGGCCCTGTCCTGCCTGTACAGACATGTCCAGGGGCAGGCTCACTTGGCACTGGAAGCTGAAATGGTGATGCCTCCTCCTTCCAGGTGCAGTTTTCTAAGACAGAGTAGGGCTGAGCATGGAGGGGAGCACTGAGGCTGGTAGTGCTGTCCCCAGGGCAGTGAGCCTGTGGTGAATGGCAGGTGATCTCCTGGCTTCCAGGACACCTCATTTTGCCCTGTTTTGAGTTGGAACAGTGCACTTTCTGGCCTCAGGGCTTGTGGCTGATCCTTTGCTCAGTTCAGGAGCTTTGCTCTGTTCAGCCAGGGATGTTCTTGCGTGACCTGCCTTCCTCCCAGGGCTGTGCTCACACCCTGTAAAGCTGCCCCTTCCCTCCCACTCCAGCATGTGTGTTTGGATGATCGACACCTTTGGCAGCGAGGAGCAGCGCCGCAGGTTCTGCCCAGCCCTCTGTAGCATGGAAAAGTTTGCCTCTTACTGCCTGACTGAGCCAGGTGAGCGTCCTCGACCAGGAAACCACCTCCCTTCCCATTCTCCTAACACAGCTTAACTGGACAGGAACACTGAATGGAGCTGGAGGTGAAAAGTTTCTTTTCGTGTTCATTTGGGGAAGCTGGGGAAGGGCAAGTGGGGAAACTCAGGTGTCTCCTGAGGAGAATTTGTAGGCTCTGCACCCTCTGCTTCACTGACTGCTTCCTTACCTCTCCAACAGGGAGTGGAAGTGATGCAGCCTCCCTGCTGACCTCAGCTCAGAGGAAAGGGGACACCTATGTCCTGAATGGCTCCAAGGTACCTCTTTGCTCCTCCTGAAGCTGCCTGCACACTGGGGCCTGGGTCTCACTGTCCTTTCCATCCCCTGCTGTCTCCTCTGTGCATTCTCCCAAGGTGGGATGTGCTCTGCAGGGCTTTCACCAGAGTCCCTAAATTCCTCCTGGCTGTGGGGTCTTTGCCCCTCTGCCTTTGTATCCCAGCTGCTGCTGCGGGCTCAGGGCTGGCACAGGAAAGCCACACTTCTCTCTTTGTGCCCTTCTGCAGGCCTTCATCAGCGGGGGAGGGGACACTGATGTGTACGTGGTCATGTGTCGAACGGGAGGCCCAGGCCCCAAGGGCATCTCCTGCCTGGTGGTGGAGAAGGGCACTCCAGGCCTCAGCTTTGGCAAGAAGGAGAGGAAGGTAAGAGGCTTGGCTTGTACCTCCTGAGTGCTTGAGGGAAGTGCAGGACAGAGATGACAGAATCACAGAATTTAGCTTGGAAAAGGTCTCCAAGATCGCTGAGTCCGATCTCCACTTTGTCCTCCAACCCGGAGCACTGAGTGCCGTGTCCAGTGATTCCTTGAACACCTCCAGGGCTGGAGACTCCAAACCTCCCTGGGCAGCCTCTTCCAATGCCTGACAACCCTTTCAGTGAAGAAATTCTTCCTGATGTCCAGCCTGAACCTCCACTGGCACAGCTTGAGGCCGTGTCCCCTTGTCCTGATGAGCTTGTCTGTGCAAAGCATTTGGGTTCTCTTCTTGGACAGGACTGGAGTCCCAGCCTGGCATGGCTTTACCAAGCCAAGTCCAGCTTTGGTGAAGTTTGCCAAATACCCATCCCTGTGGCAAGTGAAGGATTTTAGTCTCAGGAACATGAAGGTTCACTGGATCTCTGCATTTTCTCAAATACATTCCAGTTTCCACACTGAGGACAAAGCACGCAGAGGCAGCTGGGCAATGAGACCGAGGGGTTGGGTGCAGGCTGGGTGGTTCTCTGCAGGAGCTGGAGGTGTGCTGCTCTTCAGGCAGCTGGAAGGTGCTCTGTTTTTTCCCAGGTAGGCTGGAATTCCCAGCCAACTCGGGCTGTGATCTTCGAGGACTGTGCTGTTCCTGTTGGCAACCGTCTGGGAGCTGAGGGGCAGGGCTTCAGCATCGCCATGCAGGGGCTGAATGGAGGCAGGATAAACATCGGTGAGAAGGGCAGGGGGTGGAGGGCAGGATCATCTCGATGTTCATCTGAATTGGCTCCATATTCACCCTGTGCCCTTGGCTTCTCCCACCAGCCTCGTGCTCATTGGGAGCTGCTCATGCCTCCGTTCTCCTGGCTCAGGAGCACCTCACCGTCCGCAAACAGTTCGGGGAGCCCCTGGCAAACAATCAGGTAACCCTCCCATCAGCTCTGCACCCCTCTGCTCTTGCTGCTCCTGCGAACAGGCAGAGGTGCCATCACTCCCTTCTCGGGGTTTTCCCTGGAGAAGTCAGGAACGCCCTTTCCCTGCGTGAGGAAGCGCGGTCGGGGCCGGGCGCTGCCTGAGGGCGGTGGGGCTGTGGTTCAGGCCCCCCCTGGGGGTGCTGACCCCGTGCTCCCTGTGGCAGTACCTGCAGTTTGGGCTGGCAGAGATGGCCACGAGGCTGGTGGCGGCGCGGCTGATGGTCCGTCACGCGGCGCGGGCCCTGCAGGACGGGCGGGAGGACGCGGCCGTGCTCTGCTCCATGGCCAAGCTCTTCGCCACCGACGAGTGCTTCCTGGTAGGTCACTCAAACACTGCTCGCTGTCAGCACTTCTGAGAACCCCCCCTTTGGTGCCCAGGGTGGCAGGAGGAAGTTTGATGCCGTAGCCACCCACACCCAAGTGCGTTCACTGAGCCTTGTTTAGATAGAAGGACATGGATTCATTGGAGCCAGTCCAGAGGAGGCCACCCAGGTGATCAGAGGGATGGAGCACCTCTCGTAGGAGGAAAGGCTGAAAGAATTGGATTTGTTCAGCCTGGAAAAATAAGGCTTTGGGTGATGTAACTGCAGTCTTCCAGAGGACCTGAGGGAGCCTACGAGAAAGCTGGAGAGGGAATATTTACAAGAGCAGGTGGTGACGAGGGGGAATGGCTTCACACTGAAAGAGGACATTTAGATCAGATTTTAGGAAGACATTCTTGACTGTGAGGGTGGGGAGGCCCTGGCACA